TCCTTCCGCTAGAAGCAGCACTTTTACAGTAACAGACCTCACAGAACCATTAACACAGCAAAACAACGATCTTTTCAGGTGGACTGCGATGTTATCAATTGTAGAAAAAAGGTATAAAAAAAGATTCCTCATTGAGAATGAGGAACCCCCTAAAACTGCCTTGCTCTCAACGTGCGGCTTCGTAGTGCCCAAGAAGTATCTTGGAAGTACCGGCTCGAATTCCGTCGACGTTTAATTTTTCCAAGCCTTATTTCTGCCATTACTTAACTATGGATCATTGCTTCGCTCGATTTTCACCTGGATGTCAAATAATTATATTACATTAAAAGTTAGAACCATTTAGCAGCTTGTTGTATTTGTGGGAGCAGCGGTGGAAGGGTAATTACATGTACATGCATTGCTTTCGAGGTCAAAGTCATATGAATGGAAACGTAGACTAAAGTTAAGAATTGATTCTGACATGGCTCCAGTAATAGGCTCAAGACATACTGCAAGTTAGCCGAGTTACCAACCTGAAATCTGTAAACTCGAGCCAAAAGTTACTGTGATGTCTTTAATGTTCTGCTTGACTCTGAACATTAGCTCCCTTTTACCTTTAGCACCGGACAGGATAAGGAAATGACAATCATAACAAGTTTAATTTCTTTGTATATTAAATAAATTGCCGTTGTGCTACATTCTTTTAAGGAAGCCATGACTTGCACAATTAATGTCTCTATTGATGCCGTTTAAAAATTTGTAAGAGAATGTCAAAATACGTTAACAAAATGTAGCAACGAAGGTGCCGATCGAGAACGATCAATCAATTCTTAATGATAGAACGAGTAGTCAAACGTTCTTAAATATATGTAAACACGATGGAGGATAACCACACTTAACCTCTGGATTTGCTCTTTTTCGAGGAGGGGGGAGAGGAGGAAGAGGCGTGAGATCCCTACCTGCCTTTCCCCAATGCTAGCTGAGTTTAAAGTTTTTTTTATTATAAGCATCACTGTGTAGCATGTATTCTAGTCAGAGGAAATGTTTGGAGAACCTGGTAGGGTCCACGTCGTATGGTTTCCAGCCAGAGGCCTTTCGAAAAGGGCCGTTTCGTTGTGAAGACTCCATCCCACAGACAGATGCCCTCGTCTGTACGACTCTTTTGAGAAACCCTCCAGGAGGTAAAACATGCTGCTACTGAGATATATCTCATTTGATTTTTGCCTTGCAGTCCTAAAATAGGTATCAAGATGAGCTCAATAAATTCTGAAGATTTTATCATTACTATTAATGTCTATCGAGAAAAGACTAAAGGAAACTGAGAAATTTCGAATAATCCGTATGAAAAGGGAAAGGAAGACAGATGGAAAACCCAATGAGAGAATTGTTCGCTCAAAGAAAAACTAATAATAGAAATTTCCCGTACTGAGGCCAGTCAGAAGAGTAGTTCAATGTAATATTGGCATTTGTTTTCTGCAAAAATCAGTGGAGCGAGTGGACCATTTGGTTAGGAATAGGAATGATACGGCAAACTTTTTTTTCTTACCCATCCCATATCAGATTTCCCGTTCTTGATGTTAACTTGGCGAGAAATTCCCCATCATTGTCTCTGTCATGTTCATCTTGCAGTGTTGGTTCATGTGTTTTTGTGAGCCATAGTTCGCATTCATCTTCACATGTTATGTAGAAAGTGTAATTTCCACTAACTCTTGGCTAGAATATAAAAATTCAAAAGAGTATATGGAACAGTAGATGTTACTTGTAATGGGGGAAAGTGGAGTCTCATTATTGCCGCAGAAGCGCAGAGGAAATCTTAGCTGTAACCGATTGCGTAATTTGCAAGATATTTTTGCCGAAAAAAAACCATAAAACCATTGGTTCGTGGGGGAAATGGAATGAGTGCCAGGCACCCAAACTCAAATGCTACCGAAAGAGTATAAGCTTGTTAAGTCTATGTCACATGGGTTACTATAGTAGTCTCTGGACGCAAAGAGTGATACTTTTGAGGGATTTATACAAGCATACCGCACCTGAATATATGTGGACATCCGTTGCACATATTTGGTGGAAAAGTTCGGAGCAACGTGAAAAGTTTGTAGCACTGACAATGTGTCAGCGGCCTGCTTGAATACCGGATGCTACCTCAGTATAGGATCATCTTGTGTACTAATACCCTCGAACCAAACCTCCCTCAAAATTCCAGCAGACTCAAGAGAAGTTTCTGAAAAAAATTGCAGTCAAAAATGTTTCTAAACATTTTTCCTCTTATGAGTTATCCTGAGCTGTATGGTAAAGAGATGAGGTTAATGAGGTTGTACAGCACATACCTTTGCGGTTGTCGTTTAAACGAGAAGGAGTGACTGTTCAGTGGAAAGCGTACTTGCTAGCAAGATATAAAATTCTCAGCTTTTAAAAAAACTTACCAAATGCAAAAACTCTAACTTCACAAAGCTCAAACTTGAGGTTTTCTGTTGTCACGCTTGCTCTTACAAAACGACCATTGGCTGGAGGGCTACAGCGGAACACACGGAAATGTTTTCTTAGGGAAGGACTGGCCTCTGTGCATGAACGATCCACAGGATGATTTCTACTAGTTTCAATTTCGATGTCCACAGACACGTTTCCAAAACTCTTTAAGCCAAGAAAGACGTGCACAGTATGTATGAAGAAGATTTTGGATAAATCCACTCGGAGCCAATCGTTGACTGCCTGGGAACCAAACGAGATGAATAATTGTCTCAGCTTTCTTATCCGGTTTCTGTAGAATAGCGACCAGGATTATTGCCACTCCCCCTGGATGGGATTCCAGCCCATCGTAGGTCCCCGTCCCCCACCCACACCGTGCAGCATTTCGTCGGGCATCACTGACAGTTGGTTGTTCCTCTGGGGTGGAGAGGAGCACTGTGAGAACAAAGTGTCTTGTTCAAGAACGCAACGCAGTAACCCTGCTAGGTCTCCACCCTGGACCTCTTGTCTGTGAGATTATACCAAATGCAGGTGAACAAAATTCAAATGACTGACCCAGTTTCCTCCGTTTAAGATAACTGGAAAGGCCGTCAGCCCGTAAGTAGCCGTAAGTAGGCGTAGCCTATTCTTGGCATAAAGGATGAGAAAGTGAAACAAAAACAACCTGGACTCATTTTACCATTTTTTATATTTTTTTCCCTAGAAACAATTAAGTTATACACATCAAATGCTTATCACGCAGATGATGAGAAGTTCATTTCCCAAAGTTTTTATTAGCTAACGGAATGGTAGGTTTTACCTCATTAAACACCATGCATGTGTTGAACACTCCATCAACTGCATACATTGCATCAGCTTGTTCTGTTGGCTTAGACTGTTCTACAGTCATGTGCAGTGCAACATTGTTTGTTTTGACTGGAATTGAAATAAATGAGGGAGGATGAAAGGAAAATAAAAACAGAAAAAAAGATATGAGACGATTAGTGTTAATCCTTCTTCGTTTCCCAACATGAGAAAATGAAAAGATGTCCCTATGTGCTTGGGTTTGTTTTATTTAATTGTGCAAAGCTCTTTGAAAGATCTTTGAACGATATTAGTGTCAAGAGAGCCTTTTGTTGTCTCATACTTGTCTACAGAATGATCCCTACGCAAAGCTCGTCACTTAAAATTTCTAATTTACTTTCCTTTTGCATCAACAGATCTCGTAACCCTTCAACTTAACCTGACTAGAACCTTATCTATCCTAACAATATCACCCCTGAACTACACATTAAGGTCACGAGAATAAAGGAAATGGCCATTAACTAAAGATGTTCTCGATTGTCAAACAAATTTTGCTTGTCAGCACCTTAGGAAATGTATAGAGAACAGTATGGAGAATGTGCGTACTGGTATTAGGGTGTAAATAGTTAACATCGAGAAATAATTGAAGTCTATACTCCCTTCTTGACGGGCCCCTTCCCGATTTTCTGCCATGCAAACAGCTTTTAAAGTTAAAGATGTGGCATATAGCAGCAGTACCTGACGGCGGTCCACAGACAACTCCCGAGTCTTCTAAGTGGGCACAGTTTTTCACTCCCAGATCTGCCCTTTTGCAATACAACAATGAACTCTCATTTCCAAAGCATTGAACATCATCCATCCATATTGGACCTTTGCCACTCCCAAATGATCGTCCCTTTGTTGCTGCAGTAGCCTGAGGAAGTCCTAGCATGTTGCACACGACATTTGCGTCTTCAATGCTCCAGTAATCGTCGCATACAGTTCCCCAGACTCCATTGACGGAAATTTCTACTCGGCCTTCACTTGGTGAGCTGCCATCCATCAGTCGAACCTCAAAAGCTAAGATAAATTATGAATAACCATTCTTGCTTTAAGGATTCCCCTACCTTCTCACTTTCCTTATTTCCCATATTAGACTCAATACAGTCTCTCTTTCTTTTTGTATTTCCGATTTTCTTTAATTACACATCAAAACTTTCATAGGTCTTTCTACTTATAAGTTCTTTTTTATCGGTACCTCCTTTTATGCCATTGTGGTAGAATCACCGGTGGAAGAAGGTGATAACTTATAACGTTAAGAGGGGCTTTAGGGCATATACACGGATGTAAATGCAGCCGGCTTTCGTCAAATTTCTTATCATAAATCTCGTTTTAAGAGTTCACGTCCGATTTATTCGGACACAAAACTATCATATTATGGTTCCAATGCATACTTCTATGATTCAACCTCTTCCATGAGCTTGGGATACCTGCCACTGAAGTAATTTCAATCCCCACATTAAATCCCTTCCCCTTTCGCGATTCGTCCTTAAGGGATACTTACAAGTAATATTTCCGCAGATCACTCCAGCGTCTTCATGATGTCCACACTGGCTCGAAGCACCCAGACCCAAATGCCTACAATCGATGATTGACGTCTCATTTCCGGTGCATTTTACCTTGTCCAACCATATTTTTCCAGTCCCTTGTCCGAAGCTGGAGTCTCCGGGAGCTGCACTCGCGTTGGGAAGACCAAGCATTTTGCAGGCGACAGTTGCACTGTCTAAACGCCATTTATCATCGCAAATCGATCCCCAGATCCCGTTCACTCCGATTTCTACTCTTCCTTGCATCAAAGAACTACCTCCTACCAAGCGAATTTCAACTGGATCGAAATAATAGACTCATTTTGATATTCATGTTAACCGATTTGACCCATTCCGGATCATGCAAATTACGCCGAAACGACAGGCAAACATTGAGTTAGCTTTGTTTCGCCAGTGTAAAGAGGACATTCCATTCCTTTCCCTACCATTTTGGCCACTTTTTGAAGAGGCCTTAAAAGAGGCAAAACTATGATAACAGCTATGAATTTTCCCTTATTTTGTCCAATCGCAGCATTTGAGTTACCAAAAAAATCAAATGCTTTTCTATTATTTAAAACGAGCTTAACATCAAAATTCANACCGAGCTATCCAAATACATTTGGGAACTTAAGAGCACCAACACTCCCTACTCCATTCATTGGTCGACAATCCACAAAGCCGCATCTTACAAAGGAAATTCAAGAACATGCAACCTCTGCCTTGCCGAAAAATTCCTCATTATCACCGCGGACAAATCCACTTCATTAAACAAACGATCAGAACTAATTTCCAAGTGCCGCCATGAAAACAAGTTCTACTTGCGAAACCAATAGAAACAGTCCTTTTGTCTTCTTAATTACTTCCTATTATTTTAACTATAATTTCTATTTATAAATTGACTTTATAGCACGGTATGTTTTCCATCGATAATAAACCGTCTGACGATCGCAGCGCAAGCTGCGTGAAACTCAGAGTAATGGTGAAACGATCTTCCTGTCATTAATTTATAACCGCTATTGAAACGCTCTGCAACCCACATCGAGCACTTTTTCACAGCCACGACTTCTCCCAGTCTGTTTATATATATATATATATATATATATATATATATAGATATCAGCAGTATATTGTATGTATACGAGTTGTTAAGAGAGATAACACTATGCAGCGGATAAATCGTTACCCAGTCGATAATTGGTAACAAGACGTACTACCCTATCCACCAGATAGAGATTTATCCAGCAGATACTGCTATCCATCCTTCGAACAATCGGGGCCAGGTTTGTCTGACTGTTTTTTGGAGTCTAAAACCAATTTTTTTATCAAAGTGTAAGTTATTTATTAAGTAATTTTATATACTATTAAAATCTTACTTCTCACACAGGACGAAAGAGTGCCAGACCAGACTCCTGATTCCAAGCATTTTCTTGTAGAGGAGCCAGTTCGATGATACCCTGAAGTGCATGATATGTTACAATCACTTCCCACTAGACTTCCAGCAGAACATTTTGCAGTTCCGTTTTGAGGAATTAGAATTGCCGAGCAGGAAGAAACTGTTAAGAGGACAAGGAGATTTAAATGAGAGCATTCAAACGCAGAACGATAGAGGCTGAGAGTAAAATTAAACTTTCATATGACCATCTTTTCCCGACTTAAAAACAAACTGGGTTGAAAAAATGGAGAAAAATATTTTTTTTACACCTGGAGCAATTAGTTTCACTTTGGCTTACAAAAGTTATTGAGAAAACACTGACAATTTCGATTTTTGCTGCTTGGTGAAAAACCTTTCCGTTTTTTTGTGTTTGGTTTTTTTCTTTCTCTTTATAGTACATATCAGGGAGATGGAAATGCCAGTTCCCCTCCCCTAGAAAAGAGAAACAAAACAAACAAAAAAATGGTAACTATAATACACGGTGACACTGTAAGTTACGTCGTACCATTACAAACATCTGTCACAGATACATCGTCCAATGAAAGATCTCCTTGGTCCCCAGTGCCCAGTCTCCCTTCAAACGTTAGCTGAAACATATTTTTGTACCTCTCAGAAAGAGGATGATCTGGCTACAACTCGGGCATTGCTGCAGAACACTACGTGCAGGGTAAGTAAGGGTTACACAAAATTTTCTCTGAAACCAAAGTTAATTTTTAGCGTTTAAAATGAAGTGGCATATAAATGTAAACGCCTCGGGTTCTCTCTAAATGTTCTTACATTGGATTTTTCAGAAGCTAAACCAATTAAGTTGCTATTTCAATACAACTCATGACTTTTCCAAATTCTGTATTTAGCACCCCTAATCAGTCAGTAGTTTTCTCTATACGTACCACAGTTATCAATTCCAAGTGTTTGCAAATGATGTTCGTTTTCTTTTCTTGGAATAGTACAAAAAAGCAGCACTATCTGAACTCTAGAAATCCCTTTTTGCCATTACCTTGCTTTCTGATCCATTTATGACTACTTGAGCTTGTATCCAATCTGATCCTTGCTCTCCACTTATTTCAAACACAGCTCTGTCATCAACTAGTAACCGTAAGCCACCCACGGCAGCTCCATGCATGTGATAGAAGAACGAGACACAAAAAGCACCAGAGAAAGACGGTGAAATAATCTGAGCAATGTCATTTTTCTTCCTTGGATAGTCAGCTTCGGTGTAAAGGTATTTCCCTGTTGAAAAAGAAAAAAACTTAAGCACGTAGCGTAGAACGGAGTTTTAGGAAATCTTTCTCATTTGATGGTCAAAGGTTTAGATGCATGACTCTTGTTAAATTGATCGTGATCGTTCATGCCACCCTCGCGACTTATCAGGTGCAACACCAAAACCATCCGCAACTTTACCCCTTTTAAGCTGTTTTGTCGGTTAAACACGGTTTATATTGTTTTCTCCATAGAAGGTGCTTAAATCTATGATGATCTTATCGAATGTCGGACATTAATGATACAACTAAGTTACGAGTTGAATCATAGTATGGAAAGCTTACTTTTTCAGTCCTCTGTTTCTGATTTTCATTCAGTTAAACCCGCGCTCGCTAGCGATTCGCTGTTGTGCATACTTTAGTACTACTCTATCGCCATTCAATCACGCTCTATCTATTCCTAAATATACCTCCCCCGGTCGTGTGATCTCCATTCCTTGGCCCAGTATCTTCAGTAGGAGTCAGCCCAGACTGCAGAGTCCAATCAAAGTTGTCTTTTGAAGACTGTTGCCAACCACATAAGCTGGCGTCAAATGAGCACGCAATACCTTTGAAGTAAAAGTTCAGGAAATCTTAAATGAAGATGTAAATGGTATCCAAACTAAGGGAAAGCGCGTGCAAATATGTGTGTTAAAGTTTAAATCAAACGAGTGACTTTAAATGTTCATTCCACGTCTTATTTTTCAAAAGTCAAGCTGAGCTCCATGAGAAGAAAATATGGTAACCCACTGGTGTCCAAGCCGGAGAAACAACATCGTCCTTTCCCTCTCGATTTAAATAATAACTTTTGATCTGCAGACGAAAATCGATCAAAACCTGCTTCGTTCTGGCGGGCATGATTACTTAGTTTTCCTTTACTTGTACGTGCCGAGGCCAAGAGGGCTGAATTTCATGCAAATAAAAAAAGAACACTGTTTGGGCCCGTTTCGCATGTAAGATGTCTACGCAAAAGAATACTAAAAACCAAAAACAAAATTAAACACACAAAAAAGTTAATTCATTAAGTCAAGGCATAAAAGGAATTCTAAATTCTCCGCGGAAATGCCTACTGACCTCAGAGGGGAAATACCCAAGACACGTTTTAAATTGATTTTCTACGTAGATTTGTAAAAATGGTTTGAATAAGTCATTAATTTTTCAAAATCCTGAACTGAATTGCTATATGGCTAAAGCAAGATAACTCTATTGCATGGCAAAAAAAAAGAAAAAAAAAAAAAGAGAAAGAAAAGAAAAAAGGAAAAGCAAGCAATCTAAAATTTACCTATTTGAAATAAAAACTTTTTAAAATGACTTCGAGCTTTCTATTCTAATATTAGCTATGCTTAAACCAACTATTTTTCGTTAATTCTGAATTTCGAAAGAATTCCGACGAGATTTATTTGCAGTTGAATCAAGGATAATTTACTGCGGCACAAAAGAAACCTGCAGCATATACGATTGATGAAACGTACGAAATTTGATGGTTTAAAATGAAGAACCTGACAGATTTGAAGACTAGTACTGTCAATTAATTACCATGTAAAGGATACAATGAAATATATGAAGTTCATATATTTTGAACTGCGTTATTAGATACGTATGATGCACGATCCTCGCAGTAGATAGCGCTATTTAAGCAATAGCGAAAATCAGACCTGAAAAAAATCAGGCCTGTACGGGATTCGAACCACTGACCTCTCCGATACTAGTGCAGCGCTCTACCAATTGAGCTAACAAGCCAACTGGGAGCAGGCCGTTATGTTGATTAATGGTTTTATATCGTCAAAATATGCCCCGTTAAAGATAGTTATAAAGTTTTGATGAGAGATTTGCTTTGACTGAAAAACTGAGCTTAGTCCAGGTGCAGATGCACGATGGTTGACACAATTTAAACCAAAGGAATATATTACTAATTTGAATAGAGCCACGAATAGTGGATGTTTTCATAGTTAGTGGTGCCTTTTGAAAAGCTTTTTTAAGCCAAAAAAAACCTCCGTAATCTAAATGGAGGTAAGATGGAGTAAGTGGCATCGAAGTAGGTTGTCCAGGCTACAATGCATACCTAACTTGATACTCTTCCTTTGCCAATAAAAAGAACAAACAGAAAAAAAAACATGACAAACACTAAAGGCTACTAACTTTCCCTTGTGCTTGCTTGGATATCTTGCGGGCCTCTCCATAATGAAAGACACACGCAGAGGTAGTTAAAACCGTAGTGATACATCAACTTGTGATGAGACTTGGTAGTAACTCTTTTCTGCATCAAACTGTCTTTTGTCCCTGAAGAATTGAAAGATGTATATTGCTGTAGACAACTTATATACTGTGCAACGAACAAATGTTCTCATTATGATGACACTTCTATGGACTTGTTTGAGGTAACTCTTGAACTTTTTAAAAGGTATAACCAATTAAAAATTAATAAGCCTTGTCGAATACGTTACAGACGTTTTTCATACCTTAAAAAAAGTTAAGAAACAGGTCGCATCAGGTTCCTTCTGATACCTGAAGTTTGATTAACTATCGTGCCACATCATGCAAAACTGAAATGTGCTGAATGAATATTCATCAAAAACTAATTATAGATATCTGTTAAAAGTATTATTATGGAGATTTCGTACACCCGCAGACACGCCGAGCAGTATAACAACAGCATGAAAAATTCTTTAATATTTAGGTTTTTTTCGTGTCTTTTGTAATTTGGCCACATCGTCAGACTTATTCCCTCGCTATTCAATTTTCTCTCCATGTTTTCAGCATTAAAAATGAAGTGTTTTTAAAAGAATCATCATACAAAACTGACAGCGTAAAGTCATATTGAAGCAGAGAACCTCACCCTTGACATGCACCTGTAGCACTTCAAATTATGAAATTATTGAAAATTCGTATTGCAAAAACGAACCTCAAAATGATCTGAAGCCTTATTTGGCTTGTTTTCCAGCCCATAACTACACCACTCTGTGAAAACTTAGCTAAAGAATTATTCAAAACGTTTAACGAGTCTGGTTAAGATTGTGAAGAAATCAAAGTGAACTGGAATCAAAATGAACATTTTAATAACTCTGTGAGCTAGCTTTTTTTTGTTTTGTTTTATTTTTTTTCAAAAGATTTGTTAAAAGGCGACTTTAAATCAACCTAACCACGCACACGGCAATTATAAATGACATTTATTTACTTGGCGCACATTTGTTAAAGGGGCACGTTTGATATCTTGATATATGGAATAGTTTTCACATAAAATTGTTGTAGTATACTAGAAAATGGTTTTAAAAACAATGTTACTGAGTCGGTAGAAAACCACTCAAGGGGTGTGATAAATACAACTTAGAGAGTATCAAAGCTGAATGTTTTTCCTGAATCATTTTAGCGGGCCAAAATCCTACGTTCTCTCATTAGTTGATGGCGTGCTCGCAGTCGGTCTTACTTTACGACATAGAGCACAGACCGGTTATTTCAGGCACTTAATGATCCGGTTTTCACATGTTGAACTCCTTTTTGCCGATGATTTTAGTGAGTTTGTTCTGCTTTTACCGATTTGCACTCTTCCATCAAGGATTCATATTTGCAATGTTTGCAATTTACCCTGCATGGCATTGAGACACACCATCTGGACTTATATTTAAATTTCTTGCTATTATTTTCAACGTTCTTTTTTACCGAAACAAACGAGTTCTCAGTTGTCTATTCTCAATATTTGTGGAAATGTGATGATTATATGTGGGTGAAACTTCTTCGCCACCGGATATTGTGAATTAATCATCCTCAGTTTTGCACTTTTCCATTAACGTCGTGAAACCACACCAATGTATTTCGTCATGATTTTTTTATTTTAGTCATTAACCTCATAAAAACTTTCTGTGTTCTCTCGTTTTAAAATACAAGGCATAAATATTGACGTGGTATAGAATAGGATGTTGTTGGACACTTGCCTATTTTTATAAATGATCGTTTTCCAAGCTTAAAAGTCTGGCGTCAAATATCATACTCAGTAATGGTGAATTTGTAGATGTCTTGCTTTCGACTTAGAATGGATCAGGAGGTAAAGGACAATTATCTGGCTAAGCGCTCCAGCTAAGAAGAAATTACTTCTCATTACACCATAGCCGCAATTTTGTTGTAGTGTGTCACTTTACCCATCCTTAAATATAATTTTGCATGTTTTATTTTTTGTTTTCATCGATCATCTAGTCCTTTGTCAAAAAAAAATATTTTCCAGCGCCGGTAAATGGCTATGAAAATGTGAACGTTGATTTTTAAAGCATCCATTGATCAATAATTTACATGTTAGGTTTTGCTTTCGAAAATTTTCAGAATGCAAGTGATTTACCTCAAAAAGAAACCCAGTTTCTGGACTTGTTGGTTCCGTTTTCTACGTTCAAAATTTCGATGAGTCAAATGCTCCGCAACAGAGGGCAACAGAAGTAATATTGATGCATAAATTAGCCATTAAAAATGGGCATCCGCGAATCAACGTACTAACAAGTAGCAAAGGAAATTAAGAAACTCGAAATTTACGTCCACCTTGAGATAAAGGCCGGTTCCTTAAGAGGAAGCAGTCGATAATTTCGACATGTTGCCCCTTTCAGACTTTATTTTTATTTTGAGGGTTTACCTTCTGTATAACCAAGTACTGTTAAAGAGATGTATACCTCATAAAAAATGTCCTCCTCCGCATGATGGCTAATGTGCAAGCTCAGTCTCTATTTACCTAGCATTGTGTTTTTCACCTCTAGTCACTGGCATAATGTCACGCATCTAAAGAGACAGTTTGACTAACAATTGCTCCTAAAAAAATAAGTTCATTTGAAATATTCCCGAATGAAATCGAACACGATTAGACTTTCCCTAAACACAGATCGCTGCATCTACTCCACCATGTGTTTCGTTAAGGAAAACTTAATTGGGTGTCATTTAAATGCGTGAATAAAGGAGAGTCTTGTCAAAATGAACGTTCTGGGGAAGAATTTATTTGAAACCCTTGACAATTTCCTAGTGTCCTCTTCATTTCATCTACAAAGGCAAACTTCATCTATTAAAAGTTTCTCTTTGTTATTCCTCGATTTCAAAAGTTGAAACGTCGTTGTTTGGACAAGAGGACTTTTAAAGTAAAAGCACTTCATATTTTTTCTTTTACACGGCAAAGGAAAACCTTTCAGAGGAAAAACTGCCAGTGTAATGAACCTTCGAACTGTGCTAAAGTGGCGTCACCTCGAAAAGCTGTCATTTTTCGAAATTACATCTCGAAAAAGGATTTAGAGTTAAACAATTGTCGAAATGAATTCTGCATTCAACTTCTTTCCTTTTCAATTTGACTTTAGCTTGACTGGATAAATACTTATTCAATATGAAAGCTCTTCCCTTATATCCATATTGGATTTAGTTGACTTAAATCCCTCACTGTGGGTAAATATTTGTTATACTGCTCATATTTTATTTTTTTAACTTTACTCGTCCATCATAAGAAAGGAAAAATTTTGTGAAGATGACACAGATCTGTGGCAAACCGCCTAGCAAGCAATCATAAAAGAATATTCCGCCCCTATCAAAATACACATGCGCAATTGATTACAAAATCTGCTAATAGTACTTATTTTCTTTTTCAAATGAAGCTTGAAACAATACAGCTTTTCATTTCCCGGAGTTAATTCTTCCCTTCGTGTAAACAAGCTTCCTGAATCGTTCAGAGCCGTAAACTGAGTGGGCAAACGAGATCTGATTAAAGCCCTGACTTTACCATTCTGCCACCAACTGAAAAATCATTCTTTTATGAGCCTTCTGAGAGTGCTCCAAATAAGGCCACAAAACCTCTAATTCTGCCGCGACGCGAAGCGAGACGGAAAAATTATCCGTCTTTAAATTACTCGCCATTCACGAATATCAACTTTAAGTTCAACACCGGGTGTTAAGTCAAAGTGTTCTTCCTTGGGCTATCAGCAAACTCCTATATCTTTATCTCTCAGCACTTTTGGGTAAGAAACTATTACGAACCGGCTATGAAGTTCTCTTATTGTCTGATTTGAATTGTTGAGACTGCTCACGAGTTCTCTTTATAAAGATGATAATGGGGAAAACTTTCTTCAGGCTCGTTCAAATTCAGCTCGACAAATGTCAAAGCTATAACCAGCTGGTGATTAAAACTTTAGAAGGGAAGGTGACTTTATTTGAAAGTGCAGGAGAAAGAATTTTTTCTCGAATTCTGCTCTGACCTTAAGTTGAACTCAGTCCAATCAAGTGAGAACACAAAGCTGTTCGTGTAAGCATTATAACTTGAAGAAATTTTAGCGAGCAGAAAAATACAAAAACGAATCGATTGTTGTGACACCTGGAAGCAGTTCAGTTGCTGTTATGTTTCATAGATGTCCATTTTTCTAAATTAAATTAGAATTTATAAGAAAAATTGTCAAAATACAAAAAAAAATGGAAAAACAGTTTTAATACAAAAACTCGTTTGATGTTTTGTCTTTAAGCTGCCCCTCCGGCGGTGCAATTCCTTTTCTGCCGTGGTCTTGAAATTTTCAAAACTGGACAATAAAGATCGTGTGCATGAAAAAGAAATTTGTCTGGAGTATGAAATTTTATCATTCGGTAAATAACCGTAACGATAAAACTGAAATGAGAGCGTTATCAATGCGAAATGCAATCGTATAGTCAGGGAATTTTCTGCCACATTTATTGGAAACTTCATTGTATATCAAGTAGAGAGTGACGTGTCGAGTTCACGAACTAGCATTGAATATTCCTTGGGAAATAGATTGCGTCTCTTTTTATAACCAATCACAAAGCGAGACTTAAAAACACTAACTGCCCAGTAGTTTTGAATCCTGGTGTTAAAAACTGATCAGAAATGCTTTTCCTCGTTACGTGCAACCACGTATCCGCCACTCTGTCAGAGTTGGTTAACAAAGTAAAACCTTGGTTTCCTTCAACAAAAGCGGGTTTTCAAAGATGTCGGCGGTACAGTGATATCTTATACCTCTGAATATCAAGGGCTCTTAATTTCTGAAGCTAAAAGATCGCGACCACACTCACCTGTTTTAGTTAAATGAGCTAATTGCACCGAATTCAAATAGTTAGCATTAGCGTTAGACTGAGCTTAAAAAAAATATCGAGCGTGCACGGTAGATCATGCGGGGGAAATGTCGCTCAAAGATTTTAATCATAAGTTACGCCTATCTCTGGTCGGTGTTGCCAGCTGCAATCACAGATAACTGACCAACCTTCCATACTGAGGAATCAAATTACGACAAAGAAATACATATTATACAACTACACAAAAGGGTAACTTAGGTTATGATGTACCCTTTAAATGGCGAGTTGAGTAAATCCTAAAACAGTTATTTGACTGGATATAAACGAGTACCAAAATTTTATATATTATACTGTGTCATACGACTCGCATAATAATTACTCAAATCTCTCATTAAACCAATGAAAACCTAATTTTCAATAATTTCATCAAGATTTAGGGAATCCTTCTCTTTCATCCTTCGAATATTCTTACCATAAATTACAAACTTGATCGTTCAAACTTTCATAGTCCCGCAATCATGGCACAACGCTAGCTGCAACAAATTTTCGAATCGTCCAGCGGCGTCATGGATAAAATCAATGTGTAGAAATTGTGACAATTAAGGGTGTCTTCATTTAATCAATGTGTCTACGGAGCGTTTTGATGAATTAAAATTACTTTTTCAGGATATAGGTGCCATCAAATGTGTTGGAGCTTTCTTTACTCCAATTAGGAAACCAATAGATACAGGCTAAGAATGAGTATCCAGCATTTATGTAGAATGTCCTTCATTAGATCAATATTCTCCAAAGCATTTGGATTGGTTGAAATAAATTTCGTAAGAAGGACGACTTTTCCTCATTTCCGTTTACTTTAAGTCTGATAATGAAAGCTGAGAACATAAATTGCCACCGGTTATTGTTTTTATCAAGGGTACTTTCCTTAACCAAAGGCGCTGTGCTGAAAGATATATCTCCTTTCTCACAAAAACCCACCACACCGTGGATTGTTGATAGGAGTCTTTACACTCTACCTCTAGATTAATCCAGAATTTTTGCACAATCTTAATTTAACGTATTTAAGAAATTTTGAAGAAACGAAAGTGATTTGCTTCCCCTAATTCCTGTCTTTTATGATAAGGAAAAAAAAAGTTAAACTCACCAGAAAAGAAAAAGGCCAGCATGGAACTTAAAAACACAGTTGACTATGGAAAACTGAAACCCTCGCCAACTCGAACCGCGCGTCAATTCGTACCAGGATCGAGGATTGAGGCATTTGCGAATTATTCTTCTCTTCTTGAGCATTACACAAATTGTGTCAGTCAAGTCAAATTTTTCTGATTGAGAGAATATCTAAAAAATATATACCACACAGGTGAATGATGCTTTTCCCACGCGCAGATCGGCTGGTGCGAAAGTGTTTTTTTTCACCTCCGAGCAGCCGACAATACAAAATCGCGCGTCCGAGTCAAAAGTTTAGTTTCCGAACTTTTTTCGGTGTATCGACAGAAACAAACTGTTTTTTTTTTTGTTACTGTGAAGCATTGTTGTATAGTTATATTTACTTTAGTGCCGATAAATATTCACCACTTCTCTCCTCCACGACCGTGAATAATTGTTAATTACAGTGTATTATATCCTCTGAAAGCTTTACCACCAATCTTTTTTTCTTCTCGCGACTTCGCAAAATTTGTGACTGGAT